TACCATAGTTTGATACTTCCCCTCCTCCTTCTTCCCCTGGCTTCCCCCTTCCATCTCCCTCCTCCCAGGTTTCCTGCTCCCCTCTCCCACCCTCTCTCTTCCCCTCTCACACCTCCTTTTCACAGTCTCCCCGAGTTTTGTTCAATAAAGAGAGTTTCTATTTTTGAATACACTTGTCCTTTATTTTGTACATCAGGAAGGGGGGCTAGGGAGGGGTAAGTGGAAGGAGGTGAGGGAGGAATGGGGTACAATGGGGAGGACGGGGGTGGCTCTGCGGGCTCCTCATGGTGGAAACTCTCCTGCATGGCCTCCTGGATCCTGACAGCCTCCCGATCGACCACCCCCCTCGGATGGCAGCCTGCGGCAAGTGCAGCCGGGCTGATGGCCGAGTGTTGTGATACGGGGGTGGCTCTGCGGGCTCCTCATGGTGGAAACTCTCCTGCATGGCCTCCTGGATCCTGACAGCCTCCCGATCGACCACCCCCCTCGGATGGCAGCCTGCGGCAAGTGCAGCCGGGCTGATGGCCGAGTGTTGTGATGTGCCGAGTGTGGGCACTCAGAGCATTCCAAGACAGGACTGCTTTGCTGTCCTTCATCGAGGTAGACAAGCAAGCGGGGAACCCCTGAGAACTGTCTGTCCGGGTTGGGGGTCGGGTCCCTTTAAGCACAGCCCTCAGCTAGCCTGAGACAGCAGCTCCATGCTCTAAGTCCTAATCTGATGCCCTGCCGGCACTGCTTCCGGCCAGCCTCAACCTCGGTTCAGGGTCCACTCAATGTGGACATGCTAGTTCGAATTAGCAAAATGCTAATTCGAACTAGTTTTTCGGTCTAGATGCACTAGTTCGAATTAGCTTAGTTCGAATTATCTAATTCAAATTAAGTTAGTTTGAATTAGTGCTTTAGTGTAGACATACCCCTAGTGACAGAGAAGAAAGTCTGGGGAAAAAACACCATATTCCTGCCTTTATTTTATTGCTTTACATTATCAATAAAGGTTGTCAAAATTTGTTTGTATCCATCCTCTGCCATCTGCAAAAATTTAAATGCAAGATTTTTGAAGAAAGTCTAAGATTTAGTCATATTAAAATGTAGGTCAGGTTACCTCTCACAGCAGAGAGGGAAATGAAGGAACAACCTGGATTTTCGCTAAAGTAGGAAGACAGCGCTCTGGGTATTATAACTCAACTTTCATGATGGCAACCTCACTCCAGGCATGAAAATACACAGTTACTGTACAAACATCATTAACACACCAACCATTTTTACCTTAGAGCCAACTGAAGAGCTGTGGATTGGACTGAATGCCCTTAAGATTCAACTGTATTTTGAATGGAGTGATGGGACACCTGTGACATATATCAAATGGCTACGCAATCAACCCAGCTATACAAAGAGGCAAGAAGATTGTGTTGTTATGAAGGGACAGGTAAAATAATCCAAATATTTTTCATAGATCTATAGGATGGAAAGCAGGAAGAGACCACTGTAGTCATCTAATCTGATTGTCCTGTATAACACAGCCATAGAACTTCCCCCAAATCATTCTAGAGCAGATCTTTTATTAGACAAACATCCAATCTTGATATTAAAATGTCAGTAATGGAGAATCCAGGACAACCATTGGTAAACTGTTTCAAGGCTTTATTAACTCTCACTGTTAAGAATTTATGCCTCACAATGATGCTTTTCAGTACATAATTCAGGGTCAAATTGCCATTCGTTATCAGCCTGATTCTGAAATGCACACCCAATGAAATGTACACAAAACCACTTGAAATTTCACATCCCAGATTTCATCCTAAAATAAATGTTCATATTAGTTTGGGGCCAATAAGACAGGGCATTCAGAAGATGTATGAGATCAAAAGTGAAAACATAATGTTTTTCTAAAGTCTCCTAAAGATCTTGAACTGGAAATTCCAAATTTGTTTTGTTGTCATGTTCATAGCAAGAAATGGAGCCTTTTGGAGGCTCATGGTGCTTTATTCAATTCTACATGTGTACTGCATACTTGGTTTTCTAATCCACCAGACCATACTCTAGGGAAATGACAGCTTCTGAGATTATTCCCCATCTGTAAACCTGAGATATCTATATACCCGCTTAAGGCTGTGGACATTTTAAAGTCTATAGTGCTTCTGACTGCCTGATCGTGCTACCTTAAATATTTTTTAATATGGGATAGGATTATTTTATTTTGCTTTGTATGTATAATTTCCTAGGTTTAAAAAACCCCAGACTCAAAAGATATACATTTTAGGCTATGGAGTATAATGGACTCTGCCTTTCAACCAGAATGGGTTGGAACCACTAGTTCTAGAGCACAGGCCACAATCAGTTGAGCGTATCAAACAACTGGTAGCAGTAACAGGCTCTTATTCTTTATGTGAAGAAGACACACGAGAGAGATGAGACCCACACTTTGTTACCTGGGGTGAATAGCCATTTGCTAACAGCAGAGGAATGTTGAAACTGTGATTCCTGGAGGATTCTGCAAGGGAGTGTTCTCTACCAGTTACAAATCCCTATTGCTCAATCTCTGTGTGCCAATCAGTCACTGCAGCGCCTCTCTGGAGCGTGCCAAGTCCAAATGGAGAAAATAGATGCCAAATACTAATGAGTCTGTATTAATCATGTGAGTACTGACAGTTTTCTAAAGCTTAACACTTGGCCAAATTTGATAAGCTTTCGTAATGATAGCAAATGGCACATACCAGGGCATCGGCTGACAAATTACAAGTCTCCGCGTGGCAACTCTTGTGATTTTATCAGAAGCCTTGTTACACTCAATGTTTTTCTTAAAGCCCCAAATTCTGGTATTAAAAGGGTATATTAAAATAGTAGCTTTTGTATGGAAACACCCCCGTCCTCCCCGACCACCACCACCACTGTTATGATTCTGGCTCTCCTGGTTTCAGAGAAAAATTGATAGTACGAAGAGAGTGGACCATACTGGAAGCCAAAAGGCCAATAAAAGGGGCACAACATTTTTGGTGATTTTTTTAAAAAACTCATGATTTTTAAACCACTCTCATAATTTGGGGTGCCTCATTCATGATTAATGAGCATTTCGGATTGGCAGTACTCCACAGCATGAAGCCTTTGGATTAAAAGACTGTATGAATTGTTTTAATATTGACAAAATAACATCCTTTTTCCCCCTAATCCTATTGTGAGAAACAGCTGAACTTTTTTTCCTGAAACTTGAAAAAAAATCAGCTTGAGGCAAACACTTATCAGGGAAATACTGAAGAACACAGAAATGAAGAAGTTTACCTAGTGTAACCTGTGGTCTGTGAATTAAATATGGACCATCAAATCTCCATTTTAATCCTGGTTCTGACACTGGCTCGCTGAATAACATTGTGGGATGAATTGAGCTTCTGGGTTCAGCATCTGTAAAAGGCCTCAAGTAGGCGCTGAGGAAGTGGGTTTTGCCTAGGAAAGCTTATGATCCTATAACTGTAACGGAGCCCCAAATCCTCTCATCTTTCTCTCTTGCTCAGGGTTCCACTTACTCTTCTTGCTTTAGCCTGAGTAGCTGTTCTGGGGGAGAGGTTTGTTTGCTTGCTTGCTTGCTTACTTGCTTGTTTGCTAAAAATATTTTACCCTCCCTCTCTCTTTAAAATATTTGAGCCTGCTTACAAAATTTTAAAATACATATATATAATAAAATAGAAGACCCCGATGGGGAGCATAAAACTTGCTAAGACACCTTTAGAGGAGGGACACACACACACAACCTGAAGAAACAATAAAAGCACAGGTAAAAAGGGTGGCTTTAGCCTGGCGTTGAAACTATACCAGAGTTAGTGCCAGGCAAATGTTCTTGGGGAGAGAATTCCATAGCCTAGGAGCAAAGGCAGAGTAAACCCTGCTCCACACAGATGTTAGCCTTATCTCTATAAGTGGAGGAACACAGAGCAGAGCCTCCCCAGATTACCTTAATTCCTGGGCAGGTTCATACAGGAGGAGATGACCATTCAAATACCCATGTCTCAACCCTTTTAGGGGTTTATAGGTCATTACCAGGACCTTGAATTGTGCCTGGAAACATACCAGAAGCCAGTTTAGCTGCCGGTGCACTGGCATAATGTGCTCCAAATAGCAAGTGTTGGTTAAAACTCAAGCCACCACATTCTGAACCAGTTGAAATTTCTAAAGACTTCAAAGGCAGCCCCATGTAGAATGCATTGCAATAGTCCAATCGCGATGTGATAAGAGCATGAATCACCATAACCAGATGATTCTTACTCAGAAAGGGTCGGATGTGGCAGAGGCTGAGGAGGGAGCTATGGCTTCACCTACGCCTTGTTTTTTTCAGCTTTCTCATTCGTGCTAGTTTATTTCGTGTAGCTTGATAAAAAAATGCAAGATAATAAAGCACCCCAAACACCACAAATAAATACAAAAGTCATTTCAAGTGGACTATTTTTCAGAAAAGATCAAATGGTTGCCAGTTCTTAGGTCTCCTTCATAAACATACCAAAAGAAAATTAATCCAATTAATTACCAAACAATGTAATAAATGGTTAAAATGTAACATCTAACATCAACATTCATACAGATTATAATTTCTTTTCAGTGTGTTTTTCACTTGCTCTCTCACATAATTCGCCAGCTTGCAACAAGTCTCCTGCTCATGAGTATGACATAGTTATACTCATTGGGGCACCTTCAAGGCCGCATTACTCTAGTCCAACTCATTTCACTGGAGTTACAATAGCATAGAACTGGAGCAATGCTGTGATGAATCTGGTGCATCACTTTTTGATGTGATCTACATTTATCAACCGATTCATGCAACAAACTTATTCATAAATGATCTGGAGAAAGGGGTAAGCAGTGAGGTAGTAAAGTTTGCAGATGATACCAAACTGTTTAGGATAGTCAAGACAGAAGCAGACTGTGAGGGACTCCAAGAAGATCTCACCAAACTGAGTGATTGGGCAACAAAATGGCAAATGAAATTTAATGTGGATAAATGTAAAGTAATGCACATCGGGAAAAATAACCCCAACTATACGTACAGTATGATGGGGGCTAATTTGGCTACAACAAATCAGGAAAGAGATCTTGGACTTCCACGCAGTGTGCAGCGGCGGTCAAAAAGGCAAATAGGATGCTAGGAATTATTAGGAAAGGGATAGAAAATAAGACCCAGAATATCTTACTGCCCCTGTATAAAACTATGGTACGCCCACATCTTGAATACTGTGTACAGATGTGGTCTCCTCACCTCAAAAAAGATATTTTGGCCTTGGAAAGGGTTCAGAAAAGGGCAACTAAAATGATTAGGGGTTTGGAACGGGTCCCATATGAGGAGAGGCTAAAGAGACTGGGACTTTTCAGTTTAGAAAAGAGGAGACTGAGGGGGGATATGATAGAGGTCTATAAAATCATGAGTGGTGTGGAGAGGGTTGATAAAGAAAAGTTATTTATTAGTTCCCATAATAGAAGAACTAGAGGACACCAAATGAAATTAATGGGTAGCAGGTTTAAAACTAATAAAAGGAAGTTCTTCTTCACACGGCGTGTTGTCAACCTGTGGAACTCCTTGCCAGAGGAGGCAGTGAAGGCTATGACTATAATAGAGTTTAAAGAGAAGCTGGATAAATTCATGGAGGTTAGGTCCATAAAAGGCTATTAGCCAGGGGATAAAATGGTGTCCTTGGCCTCTGTTTGTCAGCGGTTGGAGAGGGATGGCAGGAGACAAATCGCTTGATCATTGTCTTCGGTCAACCCTCTCTGGGGTACCTGGTGCTGGCCACTGTCGGTAGACAGGATACTGGGCTAGATGGACCTTTGGTCTGACCCACTACGGCCGTTCTTATGTTCTTATGTTCTTATGTTCTAAATTAAAAATGAGCAAGGACACCAGCTTTCTTGGGGTAAGGAAAGAGGAAATCAACAGTTTTCTAAAGATTATAAATCCCTCTTTCTGGACATTCTTTTCTCTCCCCATCATGTTCAGGATGGATATTGGGCAGCCAATGTTTGTGAAAAGAAACTTGGTTATATCTGCAAAAGGACACCCTTAGCCCAAGCTCCCAGAGAAGAGGAGGTAATCCATCCAGGCTGCCAGAGAGTAAGTATGAATTTGATTCTATGGGACTCTGTAAAGATCATTTAGCTTATTGAGTTTCATGCTCTTTGAAATACTTTGTCTTTTATGGTGACCTCTTCCCTCTATTTAGTAATTACTTTTGAAGGAGCTTGGTGGTTTTTCCCTGAGTGAGCTGTTGATACACTTATAGTTTTTATTCAGATGCAAATATAGTCTGAATTAATTTTTCATTTACATGAACGCTTTCAATTCCTCCATGCCCTCTCCTTTGTAATGGAGTCCAGTTTCCCTTTCAGTATATGGATATACACAGACCCTTTTGTTTAACAAAAGTCATCAGAACATCCTATGTTTATTTTAGGCTCTTAGACCAATTGAAAACCCATAATGCTTAGCAAGTCTCAACTGTCCCAAAATCCGCTTGTTTAATCTATGCCATTTTTGGGTAAACCTCAGTAGTAGACTTAGGAGGAACAAACCTCAGATGGATCACAAGGATCCTTCTCTGCAGTCAGATAGCTTTGGTTATAGGTAAGTAATTTAAATCATTTTTGTAATTCAAGGTTGTGGAGCCTACAGTTCTTGAGCTACATACACCATAAATTACCTCTAAGCAGCACAAAGTCAGCACATTTGTTCCTCTAGGGCTTGTAACCAAGCCTGCAAATCTGTGTAAGGCCACCCTGATCAGGAAAGACAAGATACTCTAGGAGTATCATATTAACGTAAAAGGGCAGAAGGAAAAGTTGGGGCAGGTGACAGCAGCCCCTTGTAGACCTCTCTGCATCATCACCTGAATAATAACAATACTGATCTCCGTAACAAGTTAATAACAGCCCTGCCTATGTGTGGTGAGCACAGTCTCTTTTCTCTATTTTCTCTAGGAAATTTTCTCTCTCAATCAATTTCACATCAATATTTAGTTATATGTAAAGGGCAGAACACAATCAATATGTTAGACTGTCAAGAACTCATGTGATTGCCTGATGTTTGTCACAGGGCTGGACAAGACATGGTTTTCATTGTTATTTGGTTGGACATACATTTGTAACATTCTCAGAAGCAAATAAGACATGTGAAGGAAGCAACGGTTACCTGGCTACTGTTGAAGACAGGTATGAACAATCTTTTTGTTCTTTTAAAGTTGTACTAATGATAGAAAAAGCACTGAGGGTTCTACATTTTAAAATACACCAGAGCTTTCCTAGTGCTGAGCCAAATACAAAGGATCTACATGGGAAAAATGAATGCCTATGTATTTTGGGGTTTTCTACAGGTTTGGTAATGGTATCCGGGTACTTCCCAGGTAAAATTAGATTTGCAGAGATGGTCCCTCATGAGCTAAATGTAGTCTTCAGTTCTTTTCCATTTACTGCTCGTAGGCAGACTTGCCTCCTTCTTTTCTTGCTTCCTTCCATCATCTTCTGAGATTTCATTCTGACTCTTGATGTGCTGTTTCTAATATTAACCACATCCTACAGGTCCATTATCATCTCACTTTCAAAGGAGTCACACTTCTTGGATTTTAACTTTCAAGTGCAAATTTTGATTTGGTTTACTGGTTTTACCATTTTACCTGATCATTCTTTCACGTTGCTTTCATGCCTGCTTCTGCTTCTATGCAACTCCCTACTTTTTTGGATGCTCTATCTGTCATTTCAGAAATCCTCCCTATACTCTTACCAAGGACTTTCAAATACTGTTTTTCTCCTTGTTTTGAGCTTCTCTTCCTTTATCTCTTCTCATTTTTTAATCCAATCATACATAAGCTATGCTTCCTGGTACAGATTTGGCTTATGAGAAAATGGTAGTGCTCATATCTTTCAGTCTTCAACAATGCCAGTCAGAATGTGTGACAAGTGACCAAAATGTAGAACACATTGTGTGTTGTACATTGCGTCAAAATTGACAATTTTAATGTTTTAATTCATAATAGATGGATTCAAATACTTGTAATGGTTTATCATTTTATTTTAATTTTAATTCATAATTGATAGGCTATAATATAAACTGCTTTTTGCCAACAAAGTGCTGAGTCTGCAAAAACGGTGGCCATTTTATGCAAATTAAGCACAGGATATTGAAATCCCCGCTTCATTTCCAATGTCAACCTGCCTAATCTGTATCCCTCTGCTGACAGAGGGATGCAGTCTAGACATACTCAGAATGTCTTATTGTACAAGAGGAGAAGGAATGGTTCCAGATATGCCATAATTATCATGCTTCCTTACTAATATCAGCAGCTGAATTTGTTCAAAGTATAAATTAATAGACTTAAACCAACCATTGTATCAACTTTTAATCACATTTTCCATTCTGAATGATTTCATTACAAAGAAAAACCATGATTAAATCATGGTAGAACATTGTCTTTAAACTTTATTTTCTTTCACAGAAATGAACAAGTCTATCTGATTAGTCTGATTGGGCTGAGGCCTGAAAAATATTTCTGGATCGGTCTTTCACATGCAGAGGAACAAGGGACTTTCAAGTGGGCCAATGGTGAAGCAGTTCTGTTCACTCACTGGAACTCAGCAATGCCTGGTATGCATTGCAATGCTGTACAATATGTGCTGTCTGTAGTGATGACTGAATATTCTCCAGTGCCTGGTAGGTTAGACAGGATTCAATCAAGGGCTCTCTTTTGTATTCCTTCAGGGGAGTAAAGGGAGTAGTAAGGAGCAGGCTAGCCACAAGAATATCAGTGGGCTGCTACTCCCTGTCCTATGCTGTTGTGTGAGCAGGGACTTTGAAGGTCTGCTACAGGGGTTGACAGGGCCTCAAAGTTTTCAAAATTGTATTATAGCATTAATGGCTGACATAGTTCATCACACGGAAGAAATTAGTGCTTGACATTAGTGGCCAGACAATTAGACTGGTAAGGGAAAAATGAACGAACAGCAAATATGGTGATTAATGGACTAAAAATAGTCTCACAATGGTGGGAAAAATGACTATTAATGTTCACCTTTTGTAAGGTTTCTCACCATTTGGTAGAGATGGGCTCATGGATTAGTTAATGTACCTCTGCTAGTGTTCTTTGTATTAATGAGACGTATGGCATTGAGACCCAGATTTTTAAAAGCACGTAAGCGTTGTTGCACTGTGTCAAAACACCTAACCATTTAGAATCATAAGACTTGCTTTCAAAAGGGATTGAGGCACTTTGGGCTCAAAATACCATGTGCAGTTAATGGAATTTATTCTTTTAGATGCCTCCTAAGTGCCTTCTCAGTTTTGCGTTGCAATGCTGAGCACAGCAATTCCTATACACCATTAAATACCTGGACCCAAGTGTCTATGCATCTATATTAGAACTTCCATCCTTTGTCTTATTAAAAAAACAACAGATTGGAATGGAAATAGAAGTTTAATTTCTTTAAGAGCAGAGCAGAGTCCCAAGTTCAGAGAAATACATAATTTTCTATTAACCTTTTAAAATGTATTTTATGTATCGTGAAGGAGGAAAGTCAGGCTGTGTTGCCATGGAAACTGGGATTGCAGCTGGATTATGGGATGTTCTTAGTTGTGAGAAAACAGCAACATTTCTCTGCAAGCAGTGGGCTGAGGGTGTGACACATCCTCTGATTCCTTTAACATCTCTTGCCCCTACATGTCCTGAAGGCTGGGATTCAAACAATTATATTAGCTCATGCTTCAAAGTAAGTATTAAACTTTGCCACCTCATTGACTACACACTGTGCGTCCCCTGCATTGGGAGTTGAAACTGGCTCTCAGTCATTCCCTAATCTGCATTGTGTGGCAGAACGTTCACTTTTTGGAGACCCCATTTCACAACACTACTCTCAACCCCAAGGCTACGTCTAGACTGCAGGCTTCTTTCAGAAGAAGCTTTTCCAGAAGAGATCTTCTGAAAAAATTTCTTCCGAAAGAGAGCGTCCACCCTGCAAAAGCACATCAAAAAATCGATCTGCTTTTTCGAAATATAGTGTCCATTAAGTGGGGATGCTATCTCACATGTAATCTGTGATTACTCTGGATGGAGTGGCTACCAGGGCACCTGTGCTTTTTTCCTCTTTCCTCTTCTTTAGAAAGAATTCCTTCTTCACAGTCCAAACATGCCTTTTTCCGAAAGAGCTCTTTTACAAAAAGGCTTCTTCCTCATAGAAAGAGGTTTACCAACGTCGGGAAAACCCCTCTGTTTTTTCGATTTTTTCGAAAGAACGTGATTGCAGTATGGACATAAGTGAAGTTTTTTTGGAAAAAAGTCTTTTTCTGAAAAAAAAAACTCTCTAGTGTAGACATAACCTAAGTGTTTCAAAATTGAATCAGGATACCAGGAAATCATGATGTTGGCTTAAAATCAGGATTTTTTTTTTTTAATATTGGGTTCTTTTTTATATTGTTTTCAAGCTTTTTCTCTCTACCACCAGGGCTTGAAACATACTTATTGCTTTTTAAATGAGAGCACTGATTCTCAACCAGGGGCCTGACAGAATTGCTTCTGGAAGGAGTAGGGCCTTGAGCATGAGGGAGAGGGCTTGAGAAGCCAGCCTCAGAGCCAACTGGAGCTTACCTCCTAGGGCTCTGGAGTATGCCATGTGGGGCTATGGCAGTGATTTAAAGGACCCAAAGTTCTGGCAGCTGGGAATCCGAGCTCTTTTGAATTGTTTGGCAACAGTGTCTCTGTACGATAACGTTATTCATAAGTAGACATAGCAACCTGGCATCATTCTAAACTTTTTTGCACAAAGCAACATGTAGTAAACAAACCCAGTGTTACATTTGGTATCTGGTGGCACCCAGGCAAATTTGAAAGTGAAAGTATAAACTAGAAAATTTCCCATGAATGAAGAGAATATATACATGAAAGAAAAATAATTTACAGAAGCAAAAGTGAATCAGTAACTTCATAGCCCGAGTTTCCAAGTCTTGAGTAACCATAAAAAGGAAATAAATACAAGGTTAATCTCTTAGGGCTCGTCTACATTGGCCCCTTTTCCGGAAGGGGCATGCTAATTTTTCAGATCGTAATAGGGAAATCCGTGGGGGATTTAAATATCCCCCGCGGCATTTAAATAAAAATGTCCGCCGCTTTTTTCCGGCTTTTAGAAAAGCCGGAAAAGAGCGTCTACACTGGCCCCGATCCGGCCCGATCGTTCGAAGTAGGAATAAGAGATCCTCCGGAAAAGGGCTTTTTTCCGGAGGATCAGGCCGGATCGGGGCCAGTGTAGACGCTCTTTTCCGGCTTTTCTAAAAGCCGGAAAAAAGCGGCGGAACTTTTTATTTAAATGCCGCGGGGGATATTTAAATCCCCCGCGGATTTCCCTATTACGATCTGAAAAATTAGCATGCCCCTTCCGGAAAAGGGGCCAATGTAGACGTAGCCTTAGGGTATGTCTACACTACCACCCTAGTTCGAATTAACTACCTAGTTCGTGCTTAGTGTAGCCACGGGCATGGAGTCCGAACTAGCGGACATTTAAAAATGGCGGCGCCCGGCAACATGGAAATGAAGCCCGGGAAATTCAAATCCCGGGCTTCATTTGCAACTCCGGTTGCCTACATTAACCACCCTAGTTCGAACTAGGGTGGTAGTGTAGACATACCCTTACACTTCAGTGACTGTGTAATTCTCCTATATCATACCACACTTAAACTATTATTACTGATTTATTTGTATTACCATTTATCAGATCAAATACTTTCCTGCTCCTCAGACATCTTCCTCTAGACTTGAACAACCGTGAGTATGGGCTCAGTCCTGCAGAGCATTTTGGGCCCGCAATCCAGCAAGGCACATAAATATGTGCTTAAAGTTAACCACATGCCTAATTTCTTTGCTAAGTCAGGCCCAGAGCACTCAGAATCTTTCAGGACTGAGCTCTACACCCATATCTCCCTCTCTCTCCCATTACTTTGTGTTTGGATCCATTCATTTCTCAGTAATCTCCTGATTTTTCACACCCTTCCTGCTTACCCCTTTCTGTTTAGATATAACCACTCTATTTTTCTTCACTTCATTCAGTGGCCTATGAAATTATACAGACTAGCTTTTTCACTCTCTGTATTGTGGCAATTATGAGACTTCCCAGTCCTCTACATGTTTTTAGTCAAACAAAGTGAAACTATGGACTCGAAGAATTATGCATTCTGTAATCCATATTCCAGGTGTTATTTTCCTTCTGGGTACACTTTGGGTTGGTTAGCTGAAATATATGAAATCCCATGACTGAGAAAGTAACTGCCCAGGGCTTGTTTGCTTTTATTACATAGGAAGGATATAATAAAATAACAGATTATTGTGAAATATATCCTCATTAGATTTTTGTGAGAGAAGGAAACCAAAAGAAATCATGGTTTGAAGCTGAAGAATTTTGTAGAGAAATAGGAGGACACTTGATCACTATCAGCAGAAAAGAAGTAAAGCATACAATATGGCAGGTGCTTCTGTGAGTATTTACAAAATATTTATTAATTCACTTTAATGATAGGTATGTATTAGAAGAATAACAATACTCTTGTATTCTTTCTGAAAGTGTTAATTTCAAGTAAGAAATCTGTTCATTTTATCTTTCACCTAATATATTTTTCAATCACCATATTTAAATTAAATTTTAAATTTGGGCAAAATATGAGACTCGAAAGTCAGGAACTCGATGTCTAAGTGCATGATCTAGGTAAAAAATACTCCTGCCGTGAGTGCAGGAGATTGGAGTAGATCAGCCCTCAAGGTCTTTCCAGTCCTATGATTCTATGATTGCTCCAGCAAATCAGGTAGTCAGACCTCTAACCGCTAGCATGTACAGGTGTGAAATTGTGTGCACAAAAATTGAGGTTGTGATGAAACTTCTTTCAAAATCAGGCCACTGAAGTGTGGCTTTACTCTGAAAAGTAGCTATACGAATTACACAAAGTCTCAATATCTGGTTTTCAACTGATTTAACAATGATTTACAAGTCAAAGGGAAACTTTCTGCCACTTTGTCCATATTAGTTTTATATATACTATATATGCAGGATATACCTGTTTCCAAATTTGCTTTTTATTTTGCTTGGTTAGCTATCTACCAAAAGATAGAATAGGGATTCAGATATTGTCTACCCTTTTTTCCTAGAAGAATCTATGGCTTAGTGTGGCTATTAGGTTTTTGGGCCAGGAACTGTTCCCTGTGATGGGTTTATGCAATATCGGGTACAAAGAGGTCTTGTTCTCAGTCTGGGGCTGAATGTGGTACTGCACCAGAAATAATAATGAGTATCATGAAAGTGAAACCCAAGCACGAAAAAAGAGAATTTTAGTTACTATTTACCTACTAAATTGTTTTGCAGTTCTTTGTTTCATTTTATTTCTATTGAACTTTCATAACCCAAACTCCTGACATACAGGTGAGAGAAAAGATTTCTGTGAAAAGTCATCACCATAAGCCTTGGATAGAAGACAGAGATACCTCCCTGCCACTTCTCTGGTCTTGCAAGTTGTTCTCCATCAAACACTAGGATGGCAAATATTTATATTCCTAGTAGGTCTGATGATCTTCTGCAGTTAAGATCTAGTTGGTGTGGTACACAGGAAGCATCACAAGTGCTAATTGTGGCACCCTGATCCCTGGGTCATTTCTGTGGTGGCTACTCATGGCTCTTCTAAACTCTACCAGCTGACAACCATTCACAAGGAGCTGTCTTATCAGCTCAGAATTGTCTGAGACCAGCATGCCTTGACCAAACCCCTCATATGGGAACTGGGACAGGTTTAAAATAGGAGCTGGTTTTATGTCCCCAGAGAGATGGGGCTGTTTTTCTCCTATTGGAGTACCATAAACAGAGTAGAATACAGGACAATATATCTATGTAGGGGAAAAAAGGAGAAAACACTTTTCTGAGAGAAATACATCCTAGTACATCATGAAGAAGTACAAATAAAACAAGGGATTTTTTCTTTGAGGGTTCCTTTTATGAGTTAATTTTATAGAAATTTCAATTTTTTTGAACTGCTATAAGTTTTAAAACACCCTTTGTATAAACAGTTTATATCATTGTCCTATTGTTTACCATCACAGATGTATATCATATCATATATTTTAGGGAAAAGGGATTTCTCTTTCAGCGTTTCTGGATTGGTTTGATTTACTTGAATCCTGATGAAGGATATACCTGGACTGATGGCTCTTCAGTGAGTATGATTAGTAGTTGGGCTGGCTTTTATAATTTTATTGTAATCTTTTTTGAGCCTTTTCTTATACCCTTTCCATTCCCTCCTAAGTGTTCATATGCAGTTCAACAGAAGCACTTCCTCTATTACACTAAACAAGTCCAATCGTTTAGGCTATGCCTAAATTGCAGAGCTTTTCTGGGATATCCCAGAAAAGGTCTGCTGCGTCCAAGGAATGTGTCCGCTTTTTCAGAAGAGTTTCTGAAAAAGTGGACATGTTTTTTCGGCAACCCTGTATTCCTCTCAGGGTACATCTAGACTACAGGCATTTGTTGACAGAGGCTTTGTCAACAAAGAGCATCTAGACTACATGATAGTGTAGACACAAAGGACAGTGTAGATGCAATAGCGCCTTCTGTCAACATAGCTCTGTCGACAAAAGGCACTATTCCTCATAGAATGAGATTTACCACCATTGACAAAACTGTCGAGTTCTGTCGAAATTATGTCAACAGGAAGTCAGCAGTAGTGTAGCTGCAGGTATAGTTTTGTCGACAAAAGTCCACTTTTATTGATAAAACCCTGTAGTCTAGACACACCCTCAGAGAGAGGAATAAGGGATGTTCCGAAAGAAGAGTTTTTTCCAAAATTTTTCCCTGTGTAGATGGGCCACATTTTGGAAAAGCCTCTTTCAGAAAAAAAAACCAGGAAAAAGGTACACAAATTGTGGTTTGCAATTTGTGTATCTTTTCCCAACTTTTCTCAGCAGCGTAGACATAGTGTTAGTCTTCACTGAGGCTATCATGGCAGAAAAGACTCATTTCATACCTCCCACCACAGCCACATAACCATAAAACAGGGAGCATGTGCAATGCAGTATGAATCCCACGATATATTCAAACTGGAAAATATCCTCCTTCAGTGATGCTCTAGTGGCTTTTCGCATTACTTCATATTATGTGACCACAGTTATCAACCTGGATGGAATATGTGGGGAAGGCAATCTGGATGGTTAATAGGTTGATACAATGTCCCATTAAATCAGCATCACCATTCAGAACAATAGGGACTATTCATGACTGAGGCTGGACTATCAAAACTAGTCTGCCACCTCATGGCAATGAGAACAGGCCCTGACATCAGCCTGGAGATGATAAAACTGACTTTGGCATAAGAGAAATAAAGTACTTATAGAGGGATGTACTATACTTCCTCCAATTTTACACCATTTACAGCAGTGGTCCCCAAACTTTAGAGGCTCCCGGGCGCCTGGGGGCGGGGCCACTCATGCCGGGTGCCCGGGGGTGGGCCACTCACGCGCCGGGCGCCCGGGGGTGGGGCCACTCATGTGCCGGGCACCCGGGGGCGGGGCTGGACTTCCTGGGGCATGCCAGGGGCGGGGGGGGCCCTGCGC